CCCTCCTTCAGAGTGCAGGCACTGTACTTCCCATCTCCAGGACTCAAGTCCGGCCTGCCGGTTTCCCTGAACCCCTTCATAAATGTTACTTTGCTCACACTCCAACAGCACGTCAAGTATTAAAAACCATTTGTCTCCATTCACTCCTATCAAACACGCTCATGCATGCCTGCTGGAAGCCCAAGCCCCTCGCACACAAAACCTCCTTTACCCCCTCCCTCCAACCTTTCCTAGGCCGACCCCTACCCCGCCTTCCTTCCACTTCAGACTGATACACTCTTGAAGTTATTCTGTTTCGCTCCATTCTCTCCACATGTCCGAACCACCTCAACAACCCTTCCTCATCCCTCTGGACAACAGTTTTGGTAATCCCGCACCTCCTCCTAACTTCCAAACTACGAATTCTCTGCATTATATTCACACCACACATTGCTCTCAGACATGACATCTCCACTGCCTCCAGCCTTCTCCTCGCTGCAACATTCATCACCCATGCTTCACACCCATATAAGAGCGTTGGTAAAACTACTCTCATACATTCCCCTCTTTGCCTCCAAGGACAAAGTTCTTTGTCTCCACAGACTCCTAAGTGCACCACTCACCCTTTTCCCCTCATCAATTCTATGATTCACCTCATCTTTCATAGACCCATCCGCTGACACGTCCACTCCCAAATATCTGAATACATTCACCTCCCCCATACTCTCTCCCTCCAATCTGATATCCAAACTTTCATCACCTAATCTTTTTGTTATCCTCATAACCTCCATAATATTCACATCAAATGTACAAATTTACTGTTATTACTAGTGATATAGAGAAATTTTTATAGAACAGTGTGTTTATTTAGTATTGGCTGTGGGAGTTGTGTACAAGATTCATGACTTTATGTACAGGGGTTTTGAACAAAATTCATTTTAACAAGAAAAGCCTATTTGTTAAGATAGCAATAAAAATTTTTTGCATGGTAACCTTTCAGCACTCAGTGCATTTTCTTTCAGCAGAATCACTCTTTAATTTCATACATGCTTTTTAATGCTGGGATCTGTTTTGTAGCATGCCTTTAAATTCCTCGTGTTTTATATACATTATTTGTTAAGTGTGAACACTGTTTTACAGGTATTAAAAAGTTTTGATGTAGCATATGTTGTAAACAAATCTTTTAGTGTTTGGTATCCATATTCTTGAATGCTATCTTGAAGTTTCTCTCCCTCACTGCAGTATTTTGCTGCCTGTTGATAACCTGTCACTTATAATCATCATCAGCTGTTTTTCTTTGTCCAGAGTTTTAAGCATTTTATCACAGTCTATAATATTGATTGGGCCTGTTTTTACTTTCTCTCATTTCAGTTACATGGCTTTATCTACATTAAATTTAATTTACCACTCCATTTACCCATTAAATTTTCTAAAAACCTGAGAACAGAGGTGCACTGCAGTAGTCTTACCGAACCATGTAAGGCAAGTCCTATTCGTGCCCAATCTCTCTAATTTGTGTATCTGTCCAAAATATTTTTTAGTCAGGAGATAGTGTAATGTTCTGCTTCTAGTTAAAGAGCTACAGTAAGTTCTCACTTAATGTCATTGATGGGTTCTTGGAAACTGCGACTTTAAGTGAAATGATGTACAGTGGACCCCTGCGAATTCGAAATAGCAAATTCGCAGCTTCAGTAATTCACGGATTTTTCCTTAGAACCGAACTAATAATTGTTCACGGAAATCCCCACAAATTCACAGTTTTTTTTTTTTTTTTGTGGCAATATATAATTTTTTATACTTTTAATGCTAAATATTAAGAAAAATATAATTTAATGATTTTGTAACATAAATATTAATGTAAATTCAGCAAAATTTTCCATACGTATACCAAAGACAACAGGGTTGCATGAATTATAGTAGTATACCAAAGAAAATGGGCTTGCATAAATTACAGTGGAACCTCAAATTTTGAACGTATCGCTTATCGAACTCTTCGAAAATCGACTGCTTTTTTTTAACCAACTTTGTCCCCATTATCGAACTTGCCCCTTTTTTCGAACTGCCGGGTACCGAACCTGTCCGCCAGCCCTCTCTGTCTGCGTCCCCGCGCAGGCGCCATGAGCCAGTCTGGTTTTGTTGATGCTTGAGTGAACACTAACCTGCAGTCTCATTCAAACATTTTATGATTAATTCATTGTGTTTAGTGCTTGTGGGACTGAAATAAGCTACCATGGGCCCAAAGAAACTTACTAGTGGTACCCCTGTGGTAAAGAAAGTGAGAAACACCATAGGTGTGAAGAAGGAGATAATACAGAAATATGAGAGTGGTGTGAAACTTGTCGAGCTTGCCAAGATGTATGGGATAAACGAGTCGACCATCACCTCTATCCTGGCAAAGAAAGAACAAATCAGGGAAGCTGATGTTGCGAAAGGTGTTAATATGCTAACCAAAAAAAGACCACAGACAATCGATCAGGTTGAGAAGTTGTTACTGGTGTGGATCAAGGATAAAGAGATGGCAGGTGATAGTGTTTCAGAGACGATTATTTGTGGAAAGGCAAGGAAGTTGCATGCCGATTCAAAGATTAAGGAGATTTTCACCAAGTGGAATGATGTCCAAATGTTTGTGAAGAAGTACCACCCTGAGCAAGCTGAAACAAGCCATCTTTGCAACAAGTTCAGTGACAGAACCATGTCCCATTTTAGGGAAATCTTAAAGAGGTGCCAGAAACAGAGGACTGTGGACAGTTATTTTGTGAGACAGGGGTCCAGTGACTCAAGCTGGTCCTAGTGGCATTAAAAGACAGAGAAGGGAAGTAACCCCAGAGAGGGCTTTGATACCTAAAGTCCTTATGGAGGGGATTCCCCTTCGAAACACCAACCCCAACTCCCTCTCTCCTCCTCCCTATCTTCTAGATGCCATCACCAATCTTCAATAAAGGTAAGTAAAAATGTTATTTTATATGTTTATTTAAATTTATTAATACATAATTGTACACTATATTTGTTGTGTATGTAAAACTATAATCTTTATAAAATGTATTTTTTTTTTTTGTGAATATTTTTGGGTTTCTGGAACGGATTAATTGTATTTCCATTGTTTCTTATGGGAAATATTGCTTCGCTTTTCATACTTTTCGAATTTAGAACTAGCTCCTGGAACGGATTAAGTTCAAAATTTGAGGTTCCACTGTTCAGTACATATGGGGGTAACATTGGTAGTGTATATTCTAGCACTGCGGGAGACATAGCAGTGCAGTACTGTGTATGGGTTTATCTTTACATTTTTTTTATGGGTAATGTATGAAGTTGAGTTTGAAATTAAATTAAAGTGTTTTGGGGGCATATTTAGAGTTTAAACTATAAAAATAGGCATTTTTTAACTGTGTCCAGAATTTGCAGCTTTTCCAAATTTGTGGGTGGTCTTGGAATGTAACCCCTGTGAATTTGGGAGGACTACTGTTTAATGAACCAATTTTGCCTATTTACAATAGGCAAATTGATATAAACATCAAGAGTGCACAGTGCACCTTAAGCACTCATTACAACAGGGTTAAATCAAAGAATAAATGTTTGGAAAGCAAAAATTGTAAGGAGCACCTTCTACCACCATGCAGTTCAAAAACAAATGTGTAAACTCCACACAGACAGTGGTCCCAACCAAGAAATTAATTTTTTTTCCTCGTTATAATGAAACTGCATTAAATGAAAAGACATTAAGTGAAGGCTTTCTGTATATGAGTGTATAGGGGCTGCTTTTCTTCTGCTGAGAATTAGGACCTTACATTTGTCTACACTAAAATCTGTCTGGCACTTTTTTATCCATAACATTAACATATGCAAGTCGTCTTGAAGCTTCCTTGTATCCTCCTCCAAATTTATTTTGTTGACATCTTGTACGTAGTCAGTGAATTTACTTAACCCTTTTGCTGTCACGACCTCCGAAAGTAAAAGTACTGCCAGTGTTGTGATTTAAAAAAAAAGTATAATATTTTTATCTTTGGAAGTGATAGAGAATTTTTTGTTGCAGTCTGGGTGCAGTTTATGCTTAAGTGATTTTTGCCCAATTTGAGTCCTACTGAAACAAATTCCAATGCTCAATTTGACCCAAGCCTTTTGTTCTGTTGCTTTGGCACAAGAAACCATCCATTCAACTATCAGAACTACCCAGTAATGCACATGGAGGTTGGAAATTTGGCTAGTTTTACGCAAAATGAATACTGTATGCATTTTGGCAACTAAAGCAACCTTTCCTCTGTTCATTAATCATATCCCAAAGCCTCTCTTACATAACACTGCCCTCCAATCCAAATCCATCATCACAAAAATTGGAAATGGAAGTTTTACCTTATTTCTCAGACAATAATTGAAGCAGACCTGTTACAAATTCATGAAACAGACTGGAGGGGGATAGGAGGGTCTTACCCTGCCTCAGGAAAACTGACAAAAACATATATTTCTGCTACTTTGAACCCTGAATATTTCAAGATACTTTTGGTCCTGAAACTGGCCAAAATTATGTCTAACTTTACTAATTTGTTTTCCATACTGTCATCCCTATCAACACCAATAAAACCATAAAAATAACCCAAAACAACACTTCTAAGTTGCTATTTTAAACCAAACACAAGGTCAGAGGTTTGCTTTGCCTATCATCCACTGCGTGAGGCAGGATTTTTTTATTCTATGCACACTCAGTGCATAAATCTGTTCTCTCATGTCTAGGCCAAAACTTACCACTCAACCTGACCCATGACCAGGCTCCAAGAGAAGTAAGGCTCTTGAAACTCATCAGAGTGATGTGCTGAAAACTTAGATCTATGTGAGAGACTCTGGCACTAGTAACGTAGATCTATGTGAGACAGTGAAAGGGATAACAAGCTCCAAGCTGAGGTAGTGTGCAGTATGTACATTCCATGAAAATTTAGCAAGTGTGTTTAATAAATTACAGAAGCATAGGTCTGTTCATATTACTAATAAAAACTGCAAAAATTTCATATGTAAATAAACTATATCAACAGGTATCGTTATGTACGGAACCTCTCCGAGAACTTAGTAATCCCGGGGCTAGCGGCAGCATCTTTTACCTCACAAATGATGATGAGTTCATCATCAAGACTGTGCAGCACAAGGAAGCAGAGTTCCTCCAGAAGTTGTTGCCAGGATATTATATGGTAATTCTTGTGAGGTTTTTTTTTACTTTCTTAGGGTTTTAATACCTGACATAGTTCACCTGTGCACTATGGAAAAATACTAGTCTAGATACACTGATATATAAATCTAAACTGCTGAGAATAATTTAGGAGCTTACTTGAAGAATATTAGTAAATGTGGCTAAATATGTAGAGGGATGGAGGTTAATATTTTAAGGCAGAAATGCATAAATACACCTCCAAGGGATGAAATAAGCTTCGATTATCCCTATCCTCCTCCATGACATGTTCTTCAAGGAACTCTTAAAGGCTATACCTGCCAATTTGACATGCTCTTAGAATATGAGTAACAACTTTTATGAGGAAAAACTAGTTAGCTGGAGATGGGATGGGCAGTGTCTTCATTCTGAAAGTTGGGTTGGGATGTTTCAATCTGAAAGTCATCTGAATTGTGATGTCAGCACACAACTGGTGAGATAGGTAGATTGAATGTTGGTTAATGTGCTTCCTTTCTTCTGGGTCACCCTACCTGCTGATGTCACACTTCAGATTACAACTAAACTGCAACATCTTTACTCAACCTTCAGAGTGCAACCACTGCCCTTCCCACCTCCAGAACTCTAGTTAACCAGTTTCCCTGAGTCTCTGTAAATGTTACCTTGCTCACACACCAACAACATGGCAGTTAAAAACCACATGTCTCCATTCACTCCTGCCTAGCACATATAAGCTGGCTTGGATGCTCAGGCCTCTAAAATTCAAGGCCTTTGTTTCCCCCTCCCTCCAACCATTCTCAATGAAGTAGTGGAGGTAAGCTCCATACATAGTTTTAAGAGCTGGTACACTAGGGCTTGTGATGCTAAGAGGGAGTAAATCTGTCAAGCAGCAAATTGAGGGACGGGGTCAGAAGCTAAAACTTGATCCCTGAGTACACACATTCTGTGCCTGTGCATGTGTGTGTGTCTGGCAAGAAAATGATAAGAGTGAATGATGGTGAAAGCATTTATTCTTGTCTTGGTCACCCTGGCTCAGTGGGAGATGACCGACCTGTTAAAAAAAAGTAATATATATATATATATATATATATATATATATATATATATATATATATATATATATATATATATATATATATATATATATATATATATACATGTATATGCAAAACAACCACTCTGAAAGAATAGAGAAATTCCAAGCGCTTTCGTGACTACTCACATTATCAAGGAACTATGAAAGTAAAGCATCCAAGGAAGCTATATAAGGGGTCTGGCCAGCACCTCACTATCAGATCCCACAACGGTTAAACACCTGACGCGCGCCGACCCAACTTGGATAGGTCCTTTGCACAACTCACCCCACAAAATTTATGAAATAGGTAATGATTTAAAATACCCAAGAAATGTAATTGATAAATCTTTTAAAGTTGCTAGAAATACTTTTTACAATCCAAAAAGGGACAACCAGCCTTATTCAACTAAAAATATGTTGGTTCTCCCTTACCATGAAAACTTGGTTGATATGCCTTCTCTTCTTAAGACTTTTAATATTAAAGTTGTATTCAAAAATCTTGATACAATAAAAAAACTTTTGATAAAGAATTCCCCCCAAAATGCTGATGGATGTGTCTATAAGATTCCTTGTAAAATTTGCGATAAAGTTTATTACGGTCAAAACTGGTAAAAATCTCGAACTAAGATTAAAACAACATTAAATATAGCATTAGAACTGGACAAGATTCCAATGCTCTATTTATTCATGTAAGAGATTTTAACCATCCAATTGATTTTCAAAAAGTTGAGAAAGTAGTATCAAGCAAGTCCATGGTCGACAGGAATATAATTGAATCTTGTTTCATAAAAAGCAGTTTTGACAATAATATGAATATTTCCTTTGGTTTATATAAATTAGATCCATTTATAATTAATAGAATTTGGGAAGAATTTAATAATACACTGGACAAATTAATTTTTAAATTTTCTTGGGTAGAATAGTTTGTGGGGTGAGTTGTGCAAAGGACCTATCCAAGTTGGGTCGGCGCACGTCAGGTGTTTAACCGTTGTGGGATCTGATAGTGAGGTGCTGGCCAGACCCCTTATATAGCTTCCTTGGATGCTTTACTTTCATAGTTCTTTGATAGTGTGAGTAGTCACGAAAGCGCTTGGAATTTCTCTATTCTTTCAGAGTGGTTGTTTTGCATATTCTGAAATCACCTGTTTACTGTGATCTTATTGCATATATATATATGTATATGTATATATATATATGTATATATATATGTTACATTTTTAATATCAAAACTTATTTTAATATCATAGCTTATTTTTTTTTTCAGAATCTGAACCAAAATCCTAGAACGTTATTACCAAAGTTTTTCGGCTTGTATAATTATCAGGTTAGTTGATCTTGTATTTATGTTTTATATTTTGTCGTTAACTAAAGGATTTACAATTATGGTCATATTACACATCCCTTTCCTTGACCTATTATGTATTTCTTCATGTTTGTTTTTTCACTGTATAAGATGCATTTGGAAGAGATCAGAATTTTGACTTAGCTTGTCCATAATTTTTCTTTAAAGCAATCTGCAACCAAACTTTGCGGTGTGTTGAAATGTCATCCAGATCACCATTATAAGGTAGACAAAATTGAAAAAATCTAATTGAGACTGGAGTAAATATTTCTTTGGTTACAATAACTAGAAGAGTTTAGCTTCTGAGGACTTTTATACAGTATTTTTAATTTATTTTTTATTTTTGGTGGAAGTCTCTTCTGTACTTGTTGCTGTCAAGATCATTAAAAAATTGTATATAAAATTTATAATTATTGGTTATCTCCTGGGTCAAAGGCTGCATTTGATGAGATTTGCCTTGATCCTGGCACAGATTATCAAGTTCTGTAACACAAAATGCTAAACAGATATTCTCTGAAGATTTAACTAGGTCTGGGTACTCTTGAGAACACTGCTGTGTGGAAAAATGCTTTTTTTTTTATTGCTGATCATTTTCATTTAGTGTGGTACATGTTATACAATTAACCCACACATAGGAGACAAACTTGTGATGAGGTTTTGGTCCGATTTGGTCCATTAGATAGTTTATGGTCCAAGCCAGACTGAAATGTCATCATAAGTTTCTTTCTCCTATGTGCGGGTTATTTGTGTATTATTCCAGTCATGGTATTGTGCCTTTTTGTTCTTTGTGATACATAGATGTTTCTAAGTTTTTCTGTCTTTCAAGGAAGGTTATTGCATTTCTTTTTTTTATTTGGCTTTCCTTTCTTCTTCTTTAGGTTATTCTTCTTGTACATATAAAACTCTCCTTATTTATTCTTTTGTATTCAGTTTTTTGGTGGAATTGATTATTGCATAAATTTATAATAGCAACACTAACATTACTAGATTACAGAGATGCCAGTAAAATGATGGTATTGTAGCTACAGTGTAAAGGAGAGAGTCTGAATTCAGTTTCGTATGTTAAATAATGCAGAACATAAATTGGACAACAGGTAGTAGGTTGGTAGACAGCAACCACCCAAGGAGGTACTACTGTCCTGCCAAGTGAGTGTAAAACGAAAGCCTGTAATTGTTTTACGTGATGGTAGGATTGCTGGTGTCTTTTGTCTGTCTCATAAACATGCAAGATTTCAGGTACGTCTTGCTACTTCTATATACACTTAGGTCACACTACACATACATGTACAAGCATATATATACACACCCGTCTGGGTTTTCTGCTATTTTCTTTCTAGTTCTTGTTCTTGTTTATTTCCTCTTATCTCCATGGGGAAGTGGAACAGAATTCTTCCTCTGTAAGCCATGCGTGTTGTAAGAGGCAACCAAAATGCCAGGAGCAAGGGGCTAGTAACCCCTTCTGTATAAATTACTAAATTTGAAAAGGGAAACTTTTGTTTTTCTTTTTGGGCCACCCTGCCTTGGTGGGATACGGCCGGTTTGTTGAAAAAAAAAAAAATAAATTGGACAGTCAGATCAGCTTGGCTGTAATGGCTATGTATGTCTGTGGGCTCATACTAACAGCCAGATTGATCAAACGACAAAGCCTAGCCTCAGGTTGGGCTGCAGGGGGAGAAGAACTCTGGTAACCCATCATAAGTATGGAAGTAATAGTGTTTTTAGTATTGTAAAATGCTATATTTTGCAAAAAAGTATTAAATGTATATGCTAAATATTTTCTTTATCTTGTTATGGATTAATGTGTATTCCTATTAAGTACATAATGACATACAATGATTTTTGATAATCTTTTAAACTGAAATGTGGTTAACATTTTTGTAGGTGGGAAGTACAGTGCCTGCACTCTAAAGGAGGGGTTTGGGATATTTGCTGTTTGAAGGTACATCTGAACTGTCGTATCTTTGTGTCTCTGGAGTGACGGTGATAGTGGGTCACCCTACCTGGGTGGGAAACAATCAGCATGTTAATTTAAAAAAATAGGAGAGACTGAAAGAATGTGAATGTACTAAGTGTTAACAGCATTTTGTGTGTAAGAGATCAACAATACAGTTCCTGTATGCTTATTATATAGCATATTTAATGTTCTTTTTGAACTGTTGTACAATAATTGTTGAACAAAGTATGACACTGACACTGCTGTGAAACATGTCTTATCCTGGGTTTCAAAAACCATTAGCATAGGTAATCAGGTTAACATTAGCTTAAGTTATTAGGTCAACATCAGTTAAGCAAATTTAATTACAGTTAGCCCTCTTGTAAAGCAATATTACATAGTGCAATTTCATGGAAACATGCTTTAAAAAGTGCATCAAATTTCATAGGATGCTGGAAAACCTTTATAATACGTACGAGGTGGGAAGTACAGTGCCTGTACTCTGAAGGAGGGGTGAGGATATTTGCAGTTTGGAGGGGCATCTGAACTGTAGTGCACCTCTGGCAAGACTGTGAATAAATAATAATGAAAGTGTTTCTTCTTTGGGTTCACCCTAGCTCGGTGAGAGATGGCTGGTGTTAAAAAAAAAAAAAAGTCCTTTATTAGTAGTGCATTCCTTTATAGTATATGTTTGGTTTAGGTGTGGCAAGTTCCTATTTGTTTGGCATAATTTGGCAAAAAAAGTGCATTCATCTTTAGTATGGTATATGTTCATATGTTATTCATGGAGGCAAAGAAGGGAATGCATGAGAATATAGTTGTACCAACACTTATATATGGGTGTGAAGCATGGGTTGTAAATGCTACACCAAGGAGGCAGCTGGAGGCAGTGGAAATGTCATGTCTAAGGGCAATGTATGGTGTAAATATTATGCAAAGATTTCATAGTGTGGAAATTAGGAGGAGGTGTGGAGTTACTAAAAGTATTAGAGGGCTGAAGAGGGGCTGTTGAGGTGGTTTGGTCATTTAGAGAGAATGAAACTAAGTAGAATGACTTGGAGAGTGTATAAATCTGTAAGACAAGGAAGGTGGGGTAGGGGTGGTCCCCAAAAAGGTTGGAGGGGGGAGTAAAGGAGGTTTTGTGGACGAGGGGCTTGGACTTCCAGCAAGCGTGCATGAGTGTGTTAGATAGGAGTGAATGGAGATGAATGGTTTTTGGGACTTGACGAGCTGTTGGAGTGTGAGCAGGGGGGTAGTATTTTGTAAAAGGATTCAGGGAAACCGGTTGGCTGGACTTGAGTCATGGAAATGGGAAGTACAATGCCTGCACTTTAAAGGAGGGGTTTCGGATATTGGCAGTTTGGAGGGACATCTAAACTTCGTATCTGAGTGCCTCTGCAAAGACAGTGATTATGTGTGTGAGTGATAGTGAAAGTGTTGAATGATGATGAAAGTTTTTTCTTTCTTTTGGGGGCACCCTGCCTTGGTGGGAAATGGCCAATGTGTTAAAAAAAAAGAAAAGTTCATTTGGTATAGGTGTGGTGAGTTCCTATATGTTTTGTAAAATTTGGTAAGAAAATGTGATTTTTATTAATGATGCATACATGTACCAATTGGTAAACTTTGCTACATCCAGCTTAGCCTAGTAGGCCATGATAACCCTTCCAGCACCCTTCAGATGCTTTATGTAATAAATAACAGAATTGAAGGTAAGATAAATTGTAGTAGTAATTTTTTTTTTTTTTTTTTTTTTTTTTTTTTTTTTTTTTGAGAATTTGGGGTTTGATTGGAACATTACCCAGTTTTTCCCCATTAGTTCTTAACTTCATGTAAAGTCAGTTTTCTTTGAGTGCTGATTTTCAGGAACGTGTTCCACTCATTAAAAGGTTTTACTGTATATCCTTCATTAACACCAATAAATGGAATTATGCATTACTGTGTTTACTTGAACAAAGAAGATGTATGAATTCATATGTAGTTTGCCTTCATTACTCTATCTTTCCTAGTGCATTCAACTTTTTCAGTGCAATCACTAAAAAAGTTACTCCTTGTTTCTCTTTGGGCCATTAGGTTGTTTAACCCTTTGACTGTTTCGGTGTATACACACGTCTTACTAGCCAATGTGTTTGACATATATATTCTCAAAAATTCTAGTGGCTTCAAATCAAGCAGAAGAAAGCTGGTAGGCCCACATGTGAGAGAATGGGTCTTTGTGGTCAGTGTGCACAGTATAAAGAAAATCCTGCAGCACGCAGTGCATAATGAGAAAAAAAAACTCCGACCGTGTTTTTGGATTAAAATGCCGACTTGGAGGTGTATTTTCGTATAGTATTTATGGTTGTATTCTTGATTTCTTGGTCTCATTTGATAGAATGGAAAACATTTTATAGAAATAGAGGTGATTTTGATTAGTTTTACTAGGAAAGGGTCTTGAAATGGAGCTCAAAGTAGCAGAAATGTTTGATTTTTGCCGATGTTCAAGAGTAAACAAATGACATCATTATCCAATAAATGTCCAACTAGCCATGTTATAGCCATTCTGATATGCAGTCATAAATAGGTTGACATTATTTATACAGTTACTACAATATTGCAGTCGTCTGCATAACAGTAAATCTTCTATTTTTTGTGTGAATAAAAATTCAAAATAGAAAGGAAGAGTATTATAACGGGCCTGGATATGTGACTGATGAACAGAGAAAAATGTTATTTTAGTGCCAGGAATGTCTGCATTGTTCATTCTGGATGCTATTTTGAAATTGACATACATGTATTTTTTAATTTGCATGAAATTGACCAAATTGCCAATTTCTGACCACTTTATTTGGTAGTTGAAATTGATAAATGGGTGGTTTCTTGTACTCAATCGATAGAACAAATGGAGTTCTAAAGAAATAGCTATGAGTTTGGTCGACTGGAACAGTGGAATTGTCCGAAAATGGGGATCAAAATGGGCGAAATCGCCAATGTGTAAACGTTGCTGAGGTCGCTAACTTCACGAGAGCGTAATTCCGTAAGTTTTCCATCAAATTTCGTACTTTTGGTGTCA